ACTAGAGGTTAAAATTATTAATTTTAACTAGATGTTAAAATTAGTCTTATTCTTTAAATTAACTAATAAAATTAATAAAAAATCTAATAAGATAAGATTTTAAATTAAACCTATTTTTGTATATTAACTATATTTGTATTTTAATAAAAGTTATAGAAATGTATTTACAATTTTAATAATAATAAAATTATAAAGATAAATCAAAAATTTATAATTCTTTAAATTTTTTAAATAATTTTAAAAATTGCAAAATTTATCTAGTGATTTACTAAATTAAATTTTGTAATTTTACTATTATTATAATTATAATAATTTTTATTACAACTTTTATTAACAATAAAAATAAGAGTAATATAATAAACAAATTAGTTTTAATCTAAAAATATTATTAAAATAATTTTAAATAATTTTAAATAATTTTGAACAGTTTTAGATAGTTTTGGATATGTTTAAAACTGTTTAATTAAAAAATTTAATTGGACATATTCAATTTCTATCACTGGTATATACTCTTGCTCAAAATTGTTTATCAGAATATAAAACCTTATTAAAATATTATGCTGCTTTTAGATACCAATCTAATAAAGATTCAAAACAGCTTTCAAATATTTGTAATTTAATATATTATGAGTTCTGTAAAAATCTTTAATAAAAAATTTTTAATCAGATCCTAATTTGTTTTTAAAGTTTTTTTGTAAATTTTGGCTAATATACTAGACACAATATAGATGCTTAATTGAAGATAAGATGATTGAAATGACAAGTGATATAGCAGGATTAGTATCTATTAAAATAGTTTTTAGATAAAGTTTAGCAGTAGCTTTAATTAACACTTCAAATAACCAACTATATAACTCTGCTGTTTTATTATTCAATACTGCTTATACAACAAAATAAGATTAGTAAATATTATCTATAGCAATAAAAAGTAATAGTGGCATATTGTATATATTAGTTTTGTTATATTATTGTGAATAATAATATTATTATATTATAACCAAAGATCAAATTGACTAGAGATATCCAGAAAAGATGTATTAATATATTAGTATTTGAATCAAAATACTACTTTATAACCTATCTTGAATTTTTCTCTCTTTTTTCAAATAATTTAAATAATAATTGTAATGTATTATTATCTTTATAAGAATCAAGTTTTTTGAATTTTGAAATCACATTATACAAATTGTAATAATGAATTGAACCATTGTATTTTTTATAAAGAAGCTAATATTGTGAACTTATGTTAAGCTTTCTGATCACTATATAGTATTTAATATCATTTAATATCTTATTAGTAAATTTATGATTTTAGAAGATAAATTTTATAGTAGTTGAATCTGGAGTATATAAATATTTGTAAAAGTGAATAAATGATATATTCTCAAATACTTGCTCTAATATATGTTAACTTTTCATATATAGCCTGTTTAGTATGATCTAAACTTTTTTGTTTAATATAAATTTTTTTTGTTTAATAGTTTTTCAGCATGATGATATAGAAATAATCTTGAAATTTCAAGGCTATTACTTGTGTCTTTTTCAATATAACCTTTTTTTATGCTAAACCTATTTGAATATATAAAAATCTCAACAACAGCAAATACTTTTTAATAGTCTAAAAAGTTAGCCCTAAATATGAAGATTTTAAATTTATTTTTGTCAGAATAACAAAAATAAAAAAAACCAAAAAAAAACAAAAAAAAATCAGCTATATACCTTTATAAAGTTCTACTTTATCAAATCTATCCAATTGTTTGTCAAGCTTATTATCTAAATGTTTGTCAAGCTCATTGTTCAAATATTTATTAAATTTATTATGCTTATTATCTAAATATTTGCCATGATCATAATTTAAATATTTGTCAAACTCATTATCTAAATATTTATAAGACTTATTATTAACATAGTCAACTTTAATATTAGAATTTGTAGAATTTATAGATTGCCAATATAAATATAGTTAAAAAGTAGAATCTTTGATTTGTAGCATTTATAAAATAGCTATGCATATTATGTCAAGCAAAATCTTAACCCTTTTTAGCTTATAATTAAAATAAAAATATATGATAATTTATAATTATAGTGCAAGACACTTAAAGACTACATTCATGTGATTTGTCCTATTTTCAAAAT